GAGAGAGAGAGAGAGACAGAGGGGTGGGGGTGAGTTAGAGAGAGAAGGGGGCACACACAGATGTTCCTGAATCTAGGAAATTGGGCAGACAGCTGGTCTGTAATAACAAAACTAACTGAGCAAAACTCCGTAGCAGCTGTGCATGTGTGTGTGTGATGTGTGCTTGTGTGTGTGGCATTTATAAAACGTCAGAAATATTGAGCTACATATGAGCAATATGCTCCTATAAGTATAATATTATATTATAAAACTGTTGATTTGTGTGTGTGTGTGTGTGTGTGTGTTGCGAAACACTGTGCCATTCCCAGAAGAGTCCATCCCCTGGGTATTCACCCGAGTGTGTGCATCTCCAGAGACGCCTCTCTAATGATCACAGTGTGTGAGAGAATGAGCCAGTTTAGTGGGGAATCCACTGAGAGATGGACACATACAGGACACGCTGAGGATAATTTCCTGAATGTTCGAACTGTTATGTCAATAAAAAACTGTGCTCTTGAGTTTTGCGTTTGGCCATGTGTCAACCAAAGAGGAAAAATGTTAAAAAATGCACTTCGTTCTGCTTTCAAATGTTTATTTCGAACAAGCGGCCAATTGATGAGATCCAGTGAGAAGTGAGAGTACAGACTTTTGATAAAAAACTGGGATAATGTGCAACACCTTATATCCTCGTGTCACAAGACAAACAGATTTCACTTGTTTGATCTTTTAAAGGACTTGCCTTCCCAGTATTTTGTTTGTGGTGCTAAACTAAAGTCATAAAAGTTTCAACGTTAAATACAAAGATAAAAAGGGATCCTTGTTAGGATGTAGTGTATTGTGTAGTAACCTTTTTGTAGTCATTTACTATCTTTGTATCATGTTGACAGGAACACAGATAATAGGTGGTCCAGAAGGTCTATCCCATCACACACACACACACACACACACACACACCCCTTCAGGAGAAAGTTGATCAATTTCACCAATTTATTCTTTATTATTTAAGACAGCAAACATGATAACCATTTGGCAACAAGGCCAAGAATAAATTAATGAAATTCAGATAAGTCAACTTTGTCCTGAAGGTTTAATTTGTTATGTCTAACAATGTTAGAGGAGTCAGAACAAGACAAAACCATCAACACTTAATATCAGCCAGTGAAGTCCCAGTGCGTTTCGAATTAAATGAATACAAATGTGCTCATCCTTCCACAATTAAACGAGTCTTGCACATGGCTACATTTTATTTTGCATCAAAGAAAAACATTAGCAAGGGACCAGTTCATTCAGGTTATCACTGAATTCCAAATGTCCAATCATCCAACCCCCTTTTTGAGACCTTCATCCTTTTGTTTTTCCTCCCAGGAGCACAGAGCTGAAAGAGCAGCAGCGAATGGCTATCATACATAGATAATGGTCTACTGTACACACAGAGCGGACTCCCCTCAGAGATCTCAAACAGAGGATGAAGGTGAAGTGAAAACACATTTAAAGAAACAGAAAAGCAACAAAAGGTATTAGTCGATACTCGTGCTGAATAGCCTTACCAAGATTTTTGGGGGGAGAACAAATCTTTACTGAGTGAGGAAAGGTTATCAAGAGCGGTGTTCGATGTCCCACCTAATTCAGGCAGTATAAGCACCTCTATTTGTGGCCGATAATTGAGATTTCTAAATTCTGTGTATTCTGCATACTTCTGCTGTTTTCACTTGCAGATTCAAGCTTTTCTAATTCTGAGCCGGACCCCACATCTTACAGAACAAACTGCTGTCTGAAGCTAAGTGTTTCTCCATTGATTGCCTGGCCTGGGGTGTTGAGGGCAAGTGGCTGGAAACTTCCTGCAGGTCAGGAAGTTTATAGAAAGATTCACCACAGGACTGTGATGGCAAATGGTGAAACATGGACGAGCTGAGATATTCGCTCTCTTTTATGATCTGCCACTGCTACCAGCTGGCGGGAACAAGGTAAAAGAGGGACAAGAGGAGACAAGCTTAATCCGTTTGACCTCAGACGCATTACACCAAGCGGCTGGGTCATTTACAGCTTCTTATGCTCAAAAACAGAAGAAAAGGCAGGAATAGAGAAATCTCACATTAGAAATGACTTGTAACCTAAGCCTTCCGTGAAATCAAGAAAAACCTTAAATATCCTCTCCAAAGTGGAAGCTTTGACGGGTGATAATAGCGTCGGTGCCTGCTGTCGAGAAAGCAGGGCAGAGGCTGACACACTTGACTAATGCGGCTCTGTCCATTAGCAGTGGGGAGACATGGCTCTGCATCCGCGACCCTGAGCACGCAGCGGGCCACAGAACAAACAAA